ACTTGGAACGATCAGCGGACTGTGAAGATCGATGAATTAAACAGAAATTAACCTCATAGCCTAAGCTCAAAAAAAAAAGCTTAAGAAGATACTTAAGGAAATAATGAACTTGCGGATGTAAAGGAAAGAATGACTTCTCACTTTCTTAAACTTTTCGTTATTCCTTTAGCTGCTGGATACTGTTAACGTGTCACTGCCCAAAGTTAGGAAAGAAACCAAAACGTTTACCAAGAATGCTGCTCAGCAAGCCGTCGAAAACCAATCCTTCAGTGAAGTTGGTGATAAGAGTGCCGAACTCCTTCGGGAGATCGCTGACCCATCTTCGTCCATTTCTGTTTTGTATCAAAAGTCGTATCGCTTTCGCATAAAAGCCGCGATGCCGATAAAAGAGCAGTACGGAACAAAGGCCTCTTCCAAATTCAAGGTGGGACGGCGTCTCGTGTCTACCTATGAAATCGGAAATAGTCAAAAAATTAGCACAAGCAAATCAGCGTAATCAATCTTGAAAACTCATTGAATGAAAGGACTAATGGTACAATAGTTTAACTGGATTGACGTTTACATGGTCAATTTATGGAAATGATCTTCTGATTACAAACCTCACTGAAAACAACGGGGGTCACCGTCTGCATTACTAGTCCTAATAAATCAGAGCATAGTGAAAAAATCATGCCATTTACCCTCTGAATCCAAAATGATGAATCGAATTCCTTCTGTAGTATATAAAGATAATGAACTATATACAAACGTTGTGAAGGACGTAAATAATAAATGTCTTGAGAACGCAACTGGTGAAAGTAGCAAAAGACATGGGCGAATAGTAAAACTCTAAATAAACTTTTCATCATGCAAAACTATGAAATATAATGCAGTAAAGCTGCACGGATTGTGATGTCTGATCCAGTAAAAACGATAGTTCAAATTTGCAAGAAACCCTGTTCACTATTGTGACAAAGATCATACTGACTCCAAGTCTCTCTAAAATGCTATCCAACACGTCTGCGACCAGTGGAAGGTTACAATGAGAAAAGTTTCTCAACCTATTTTGGAAGATCTCGAAATACATATAATTAAACTAGTGCCAAATGTTAATTGGGAAAATCGAATAAACTGAGAAGAATTGAAATTATTTCACCGTAACGTTGCCTCTGATTTAAGTATTTGAAACGTATGCCGTACTTGAGACAGCAAAATGATAACAATTCAGGTTTACAGTCAAAATCAGTTCTTTGCAAAAATTTATACGTTCCTTTGTTGCAAAAATTATAGCAAAGATTCTGACGACTGAGTAACTTAAGCCTTGACTACGCTTTACATGAAAGAACACTCCAGAATCCATCGCCGAATTCCAGATCTTAGCAGAATCCTTACTATCCGTTGTCGACCAGTCTGACGATGCTCTACGATCTACTTCAGTAACAAACAACCATAGTGGATCTCTTGAACTTCATCTGCAAACTCGGCTGAGCAGTACAGCATGATTTATTCGTGAGAGTGCACTTTACCTAACTTCCAATGCCGGTATTCCACTGGAGGAAGCAATTCCCACTGAAATCACCATGAGCATAATCAAAAACAGTCCGTAAGCTATGGAAGCATAAAGTATGCACGAAATCCTCGTTCCTAAACGTATGGTGAAAAAGAAAATAAGAAGACTCCCGGAGAGTAAATTAAAAATTGTTCCGGACTAAATAAATAGGTTTAAGAAAGCTATCAGGGAATACACAGGGTATCTACTTTGTGCCCGGGGCGTCATGAACCCCGTTCATGATATAAATTTGTATTCGCTCTCATGTTCATTCAAACTCAAATATTCAGTCTAACAACTCATACAATGAACATCATGGTCATATTTTGCAGGTTCACTTTTTACATATTGTATTTTTATGTTCATATTGAAAACCCTAGACGCAGCGGTGAAAACCAGCCAACAGCAAAAAAGATTGAATCGTACCCTGACGAACGGTTAGAAAACATAAAAACTAACAGGAAACCAAAAATGGACAACAGGTTTACCATTCATTTCAACACTTTGTACCAAAATATAATAATATCACTTTTAACTTTCTTACAGTACACTATTTTGTTATATTTCTTACGCAGTCTTAAAGACGCTTTCAAAGCCTTCCAAAATTCACACTGTGACGAAACAGGCCTTTTTAAAAGCGATGCTCAATAGGTGGAGCTACGCTGACCAGAGAAAAACGCGCATCTGAGTGACCAGAATGTTCTACTAAATGGAGCAATACGGAATTTAACTCTACGATAGCTGAATGGTCAGGATCAAGCAAAGAACATTCCAACAAATCCTTACCATCTTCAACTCATAGCGTAGCGTCATTCGCGCAGATTGACAACAAGTTCGCGTTCGAACTTCAGACAGGAGGTTCATTCGCAAAATCATGTAAACTGTCCAACCCAATTTCTTGTCATGTAGCAGTCTGCCAGATTGCAAGGCAAATTTATTAGTGAACATGAGCCATAGGTTTAGGATCGCAAATGGAGGAAGTACAAAGCTTAAACGGCATGGACAGGCAAAACATAAAACCGACAATGGCAAAGGAACGTGGAGATAGGAAACGAATAAATCTGCGAGGCTCTTTTCGGTTAAATATGTATAACTCTGCCAACTAGAGGAAACCCGAAACCATTCACAAAGTCTCACAATGTCCTGCTACCCTCTGGACATAAAATGAATACCAAATTACGAAAATGAACGAATAGACTATTGAAATTTTTCCTTGCATTGTGTCCGGTTAAGATGACGAACAAACGAACGAAAGAACGAAAGAGTGAATGAATGAACCACTGATGCTCTCTGCTACTTGTAGAAGATGAAACAACTGCCCGTCGCTGCTCATCAGTCATTTACGTAGAATTTATACACCAAAATTTTACTTTTTGTAAACGCGGTCATTTATTCGGCAAAATTGTTTGAAAGAATCGCCCAAACGTGACTGCAGCACACTTCATCAACCGGTTAAAGTTATAAACTATTTATCTTTGCAAGAAAACTGCCTCTGAGTGACAGAAAATTCTCCTTTTCGGGTTCCAGGTTCCCTATTTCGGGTTCCAGGAGAGAAGCCATCATCAGGATTAATTGTTTTGTAAAATGTGAATAATTTAAATATCGTTATTGTGCGTTCAAAACGAAGTTCCGAAAAATCCTACTTTCACATCCCTATTCGAGAGTCAGTGTCCTGAAACATCCTTTAAAAACTGTCCACTCTTTTTATGCAGTCACCAGCTATGACAAAAGCCTGACTGGACATCATATCAGAAGTAACTGGCCCGTCAACAATGATTACTCAGAGATCCCAATCATTGCTGCTGAAAATCACTTTAAAAAGGAAGAAAATCTGCTATACTAATATAAAGCTAATTTTTGGTTAATAAAGTGAACTGTTATCACATCTTTGTCGCAACGCAATCTCAACTGCATGTAGAAATGAACTGTATATTTCTGGATGCATATGTAAGGTAAACAATAACTCGCAAGGCAGAAATATTTGACCTGCAGGTCACAGATATTCTTGAAGAATCACTATCACGGGTCAATATACCCAAATAAATCTTTTTTATCTTTTCAATGGGTATTTGCTCAAATCACAGGTCGGAAACCACAAATTTGCGTAAGCAGAATGTCTCTGTTACAAATGTTCGCTTTACTCACCGCTTTTCATCACATTTGCTATAAGTCGCTGCATCGCAGAAGGAAATATTCCTCTCCGAAAGCAGATTTGCCTCTATCTCATTCCTCCATGTTGTATGCTGGCTTCCTGGTCGACGTCTGGCATATTTGACTTTCATATGAGAAGTTCATGTTGTAGAGTAAAAGGTGTACGCTCAAGCAGGTTTGTCTTAAAAGGCCAACCACCATTTCTTAATTTTCACATACTTAGTCACCCGTGCTCGGAAGAGAAGGGATCCATTCCTTAAATGGTCCTCCTATTTAACCCTCACCCTCATTATGTGTTCAAGCCAGTGCTGCTCTACACAGTTCTCTAGGATAACTGCTTCCAGGTCGTACATTAACACTGACGTGACAAACGAAAGGTACAGGCAAATTTACGTGGGAAGGGGTTTCAACCCAAATATTGGATACCTTTCCAAAAGTAAACGAGGCTAAAGCGACTCTGCCATTAAACTCTGACTGGATTGTGCCATCGCTGAAGATGATGGAATCGAGATACTTAAACTGGTCGACAACATGAACGCCTTCTATACCATCCCTTATTACATATTGCAGGAGGTTCAGGATAGCTTAGCATTGCCCCATGTAACTTAAGTAAATAAGCTATACTAATATAGATCAACAGTTGGTTAAATCAACATGTTCGGAAAAACCGTACTCCCCTGTCTAGTTTTCGGGTGTATTCCATAGGTCATCTAGATCATGTCAAAACTGGGTCCTTGAAAGAGATGCTCCAGTGTTAACACGCTTCACGATGACAAAGGAAGACTATTACAAAGGACTCACTGTTCCAATGATTTTGAAAGAAACAATAATATGGATTAAACGCTGTATAAATTACCTCAGTGGTTTAGGCAGGTGAAGTTACAGCGGTAAGGCGTACGAATCAGAGAGCATGACTGTACTCCTCGGCTAATCTGGCATGACCATGCCATAAAATCAAGCTGTCCCTGTTGCCCACAGGTCAACGGCTTGCTATTCTTTCGTCGGCTGGTCGCACCGAAGCATCGTTCAGTGAAATCCCTGCTTAAGGGATTTATTAGCAAAGAGAAATTATTTGGGTTTGAGGGACACTTTATTAGTGTACCACCGACCTAATGACAAACAAGCTGTAAGTTAGACTCTCAGTCGTTCTCATTAAGATCTTTTTATGCTGATGTGCGAAGCCACTTACCAAGCAAAGATTTTATATCTCTAGTAAAGTTACGCTACTCAGAATTACACAAACGAAGAAAAGTGAATAAGGAACTGAACCACAACCACAGAGGTGAATTGCAAGAAGTTGACAGATTCATCCTGTCATCGTCGTCGAAAGCAAACAGAGCTTAAACAACAGAGTAACCCATGTTCACGATGTTCTATCGTTAGAAACTGCATTTTAGTTTGGTTAAACGCCGCAGCATGACCAAATCGACATATCATTTTTCATTCTTCGAAACTAGAGTTCACTCCTATACCGCACTGACCTGCAAGTAACAGCTCCAGGGCCAGCAGCTCGTTGAGGTCAAACACGTCGCTGGCGATTAAAGCCTCGTCGATAATATCTGGCCGGATCGGGATGCCCCTCTCGCCATCTTTCACATACATCCCCGACGCTTTGGCAGCTTCGAGCCGACTGCGATCCGTGGCACTTTTTGGCTGAAAACATAACCGGAGGTCACACAGACCTTGTGAAATAACTGTCAAAAAATACTTTGTGCTTAAACATGGACAGCAGTCGTAGACGATAGCTTCTGAGAGTTTCTTGCAAAACATAACGCGAATGAACGGTAGGGCGATTCAGACACGAAA